ACGGTACTTACCAACAACAACAACCATTTTCCAGGCAGTGCTGTTGCTGCTGTCCTGGGACCACACTTGGAGAAGTGCTGGTTTAGACTCAACTGTGGCCTAAAGAGCCCATGACTGCCAAGGAAGAAAGTCATAAATTTACAACGTTCTCTGCTTTCAGCTCTTGGACTGGCACTTAGATAAAAGAACTGCCTGTAACATATTAGGTGCTGCTGGATGAGATCAGGATTTTATTTTTACCCAACACAAAAATAATTTTCAATGCAGCATAGACTCTAAAGGAACTTTTTTGAGTTCTTTACAACTTTTACATTTAGGTAATTTGGACATTTTATTAAGAAAAAGGACTCATGCTTTAATTTTTTATAAAAACAAAATGCATCAATTTTCTACCATCATACCATTGTCTTGTCGTTTAAAACTTGTACCCTCTATATTGAACTTCACCACTTGTCTGTCAGTTTGTCATGCTGCGATGGATTGTGTGCTGCTATGATACTGGAAGCTATGCCACCGGTATTTTAAATACCAGCAGGATCACCCATAGTGGACAGGTTTCTGCCGAGCTTGCAGATGAAGACAAACTAGGAAGAAAAGAAGCACTCCACTTCTGAAGGATTAACCACTGAAAACGTTATGAATAGTAGTGAAACATTGTCTGCTATAGTACTGGAAGATGCACCTGTCAGGTTAAAAAGTACTCAAAATACTCAAAGTTGAGTTAACCTTAGTGATGTGGATAGAACAAAGATTTCAGTACCTTCTTTTGCTGATAGAGCACAACTTGAAATGAGGAGAAACAGCTGCAAACATCCATTAATATTTGGAACATGGAAGATACAAAGTATGAATCTAGAAAAATTGGAACTCATAAAAAATTAAATGGAACACATAAAAATCATTATCCTAGGCATTCATGAGCTGAAATTTACTGGTCATGTTGGCCATTTGAATCCAACAATCATATAGTTTACTGTGTCAGAATGACAAAATGAAGGGGAATGGTGTTGCATAATTGGCAAGAAGAACATGTCAACATCGATCTTGAAATACAATGCAGTCTGTAATAGGATAATATCGATAAGCCTACAAAGAAACCCATTTAATACTACTATTATTCAAATTTACACACCAAGCACTAAAGCCAGTAATGATGAAATGAAATAATTTAATTTCTTTAATTTAATTTAATTTAAAGAAGACTTTAACTTCTTTAGTGTAAAATTGATCAAACATGCAATCAAGATGTATTGATAATTACTGATGATTGGAATCCAAAGGATGATCAATCCAAATGATTGGAATGAGCCCTAGTTTGAAAATATGGCCTTGGTGATATGTCGGGGTCCTGCCTCAACAGAGGGGTGGGCTTCATGAAGGTGGGAGATCTGGTAGGTGAAAGATATAGATTAGACACAAAGAAGACAGACACACAAGTTTGATGCAAGCTGTGAGGCAAGCTAGCATACAAAACTAGCTCAACCTCAGTCTTTTATTGTCAAAAAGAAGGAAATTGGCACAGAAGACAATAATGAAAAAATGTGATTATTCATT